TATATTTCCTATATATATTCATTTTCACTGTTGAAGGAGTCCGTGACTTCCGTTTTTCATTGCCATATCTACACTGTAGCTAATGTGCACATGGCAATAAAGCCTTCAATCTTGAAAAGGGTAACGTACAGACTTATATAAACTTATCTGATTAATGGTTTAGTGGTTATTGCTTCAGTGAGTGCAGGAATGAGTCCTACAACCGAGGAAGATAAGATAAGAAGTACTTTGTTGATCCCAGTTTGGGACATGTTTGTGTTGCAGCATAAAAGACAAGGCGTTGCACAATACAAATGTAAAAGACAGCATTTCAGCTCAAACTAAACTGCTGTTTCTCTTTCGAAGTGGACGAATCAAAGACATCGGTCACCGCCAAACACCAGTTCTCAGACGCCGATGATTCGGACGGTATGGACGAAGACGAGATCGACGAAGAGGACGAAGAGGACGAGGATTACGACGGAGATTCGACTCCGAAACTGCGTTCGAGGAGCACGAGTCCTCAATCGTGTGGTGTCACGTCTTTATCCGTCACCTCCACCATCCACGGATACTCAAAGTCTACGGACGAAGACTCGTTGACGATGCTTTCTCCGGATCAAACCAGCTTCCTGTTCGACCCGTACACTTCCTGTCTGCTGTCTCCAGGATGGGAGTCTCCGATCAGAGAACCGTCTCCATCTCGTCTTCGTTATCCGTCCCCGATGAGGGAACTTTCCCCGAGAGGACGGTCTTCCCCTCGTTGGGATTCCTCTCCGTTGAGGCCCAGTTCTCCCAGTTTCTCCCCCGTTCAGAGGCCCCTCTCCCCCGGGGAGGCGTCGGCCAGAGGGAGGCAGAGGGTTGTGCTCAGAGCGGTTTCTCCACGCAGAGGATCGCATCAACATCAACATCAACATCAATACAAGGGGGAGAAGAGCCGAGCGCAGGCCATCAAGATGGAGATGGAGAAAGGACACTTTGAAATGGAGACGGTAAGGACACCCCCGAGTTATAGGGTTAGGAATCTATGCTCAAACATAAACAAAGGAAAGATATGATTGGAGTAGAAAGATGCACCTCAACACTTCGGGTCCCGTTGCTTATCCGAAACGCCAATGAGCAAATTCCCAAAGCATGTGAAACCGTTCCACATTGCAGATTGTCAAGATCAATATTTCCTTGTTGTTTTTAATTGTTTCGGCACATAGCCTTCCTTCGTGAGATTCAAGCTGATCCTGACTTTGATATACGGGATGTGCCATCTTTTCTTTCTTTTCAAAACCTCGAAGAGTCTTTGAAATGGAGATGATCGGTATTATGAAACCTCTGAAAATATGGGTTAGATTTTGATAATCTTTGGTGGGAAGTTTGGCCCTGGGCAAAGAAACCATTGATAATGTTTTGGAAAAGGAAGTTAAAACTCACCAATTTGGTGCTACACCTAAAGTCCAAGAACCATTTCCCCAAAAATGGTGGAAAGGTAGCCCAAGTCCCAAGTCAAATTTATTTCCTTGTTTTGGGACGGAGACTTAATGAGAGTGTTTCAAACAAGCCCTGACTTGGAAATACCTTTCCACGTTTTGTTGGGACTGTTTCTTTACAGATTCAGAACTACACTAACCTTTGAAATGAAAATGATAGGCAACGGGAGGTTCGGCACCTACTAGGGTTTAGATTTGGATGTTAGTGGTGGGAACTTTTGGCCTTTGGCAAAGAAAAGAAGTTGAAACTCACCAATTTGATTCCCGGCCCGAAGCTAAACCAAAAGTCCGGTTAAGCATTTTACCCCAAAATGGTGGAAAGGTAACACATTGCAGATTCCCAAGTCAAATATGTCCTTGTTTATTTCCTTGTTTTGGGACAGAACATCTGGGACAGGCGACGCTTCCACGTTTTCTTTAGGACTGTTTCTTTACAGAACTACGATAGCCTTTGAAATGAAAAGGATAGGTTTGGGAGGTTCGGCTCCTAATAGGGTTTAGATTTGGATGATAGTGGTGGGAAGTTTCGGCCTTTTGCAAAGAAACAAGTTCTCATCAAAGATGCTAGACCCCTCAGACCCCTAGACTTAGACATTTGGGATATGCTTTACTAACTGCTGTGTCAAAAACACTTTTGTCGCAACCCTAATAAAGGAACTCTGATTCTCTTTTGTTTCCAGGATCAGAGGAGCAGCTTGTCGCCCCCCAAAAACCTCCTCAGCCACCTTCCCCTTCACTCCCAGCATTCGACCCGCTCTCTTCTCCCATTGGTTCCCATTGGAGGACACCAGATGTTACCCTCCACCTCCACACCTCCACCTTCCTCCAGCCCTGATCCCCCCCTCTCCTCGGCCCCGACGACCCCCAGCAGCGAGGGGTCGTTCCTGGGCATCGAATCTGCAGTGGAAGACGCTGGAGGAGAAAATAACCCGGGGAAAAACCCAGAACAGGAAGTACAAACTTGCCTAAACGCCATCGCCTCGCTGAAGATCACCACAGAGGAACCTCACTGAGAAACTCATCTCACTCTCATCTTTAACTCTAACCCCCTCAGAGGATCTTTATAAACGCCCTCTGGTGTTGCACATCGCTCCGTTTGACGAGGAGATTGAAACAGAAGAAGAAGAAGAACTTGAAACAGAAGAACCGGAAACAGAAGAACCGGAAACAGAAGAACTTGAAACAGAAGAACCGGAAACAGAAGAACTTGAAACAGAAGAAGGAGAACTTGAAAAGGTGCCGAAGGAGAACCGGAGAATCATTGCTGGGTGCAGGTGCAATACGGAAAGATATTATGCTAATATGCCTTTGTCTGACATAGTAGTTTGCATACAATTGCACATAAATTATATTTATGGATCTGTACGATACTTATACTCCTTCTTAGATGCATACGAATATTTGACTGTATGTGTACTTTGAGAATAGACTGTTGTTTAATGTAATCATATCGAGGTGTGATGCAGTAGTGCAGTAACTGAACACTATTTATATAAGGGGAAATGTGTATTATGAAACAGTCTGACCAAATTTGAAGTAGACGCTTTCCTCGTGCGGTTCGGTGCTTCGGAAGCGGCGGCGAGCGTCTGTGCCTTTACTTTGCTTTTCATCTTTTATTTATTTATTATGGGAAGAAAGCTCTTTGTTTCTCGTGCCGTCGATCCGGCTGCAGCTTGATTTATTGTGAAACAATCTTAAAAAAAAAAAGGAGAAACAGAAAAGTTTCCTCTGTTGCATTTTTCTAAATGTCGTGGTTTTTATCTTGGTAAAAAAAATGCATGGAATTTGCTATTGCACAAAAATAGATAAGATGTAAGATGTATTTATATATTAGAACGTGAGCACTTATTGAGATATTTGACTACTATTTATATGGTATATCTGTACTTATGCAGCCGTTTGAGCCACGTCTTTGCTTTGGTTACGTTTTTCTCTCACACACAAGACCAGAAGCGTTTCATGACGATGCACTTTCATGCTTTCATCTTGAAAATAAGGGAGTTTTTATTTGTGTTCATTTTTTAGAAACATTCCAGTTTTCTTTCTCATTTTGTGAAACTTGTTGCACAAAAGTTCAAGGGGCTATGATGATCAGTGGACGGTCTGTTGTCTTGCATTTAACTGCAGAAATCAATATCACTTTACTGTAAGGTATACGTTAGTGCTGATCCTGCACCAGATGCATTACTCTGTACATAAAGGTGTATTTCTATGATTTAAAGTATTTTTGCAGTGTTGAAACTTTTTATGTGGATGTTTATCTCTTTGAGAGGTTAAAGGTACGGTGGCCCACAGGTGCAAACACTTTGCAATGACCTAGATATAAAAACCCAAAGGTTCCACATGAAGAAACATCTTCAGCAACTTGACAACACATGCAGCGTTTAGAGAACATTCAGCAGCTTGAGGAGACATGGCAGCGTTTAATGAAAGCTGCAGAAACCAAACGCTGAAGAAGCTCAAACACAACGGAGACCAGGGGACACTAAAGAGTGACGCACACAGCTGGAGACCAGGGGACACTAAAGAGCGACGCACACAGCTGGGTGAAAACGTTTTTTTTTTAAGTTAAACTTTTTTTTCTGGTCTCCCAGCTGTGTGCGTCACTCTTTAGTGTTGCCTGGTCTCCCAGCTGTGTGCGTCACTCTTTAGTGTCCCCATGTCTCTCAGCTGTGTGCATCACTCTTTAGTGTCCCCATGTCTCCCAGCTGTGTGCGTCACTCTTTAGTGTCCCCTTGTCTCCCATTTGCATGTCTCTCAGCTGTCTGCGACACTCTTTAGTGTCCCCATGTCTCTCAGCTGTGTGCGTCACTCTATAGTGTCCCCTGGTCTCCGTTGTGTTTGAGCTTCTTCAGGGTTTGGTTTCTGCAGCTTTCTCTAAACACTGCCATGTCTCCTCAAGTTGCTGGCAGGGCCGTGGGAAGTAGGGGTGCTGAGGGTGCTGCAGCACCCCCTGGTGGAGGACATAATTAAGTAAAGAGGCACACCTTTATAATTATTAGGATAAATAAAAACAGGTTTGAAAGCTGTGTGC